GGGAGGGGGGGGGATTGTAATTTTTCTTTCTTTTGCGAGGTAGTCGACTAACTTGCGTTCTAGTCAACTGGGTTTTTCAAAACTAAATATAAGAAAGTAAATGATACTGAATGTTTTACACTGGTTCGGATTCAGAGTGAATCCTATGTCAGCCCCCTTGGGCTGCAATGGTGACCTCTTTCATGTATGAAGTGGCTTAGTACAAATGATTTGATGTTGTTATACACCAACAACTTTTGGTCACTTTGTTCTTCTCTCTTATAGTCGATACAATGCCTCACCGGTGTTCTTTTCTGTCTCTCTTCTCTTCTTACTTATACAAAATATCTATAGCAGACTACAATGCTTTTTTGAAGTAGAACAAAGAGATTGAAATTGGTTTGATCAAAGTATGTCCATCCTTGGCATCTTATGTAGAATATATATGGCGAGTTGGTCTTCATTCTTCACGGCGTGATAGTGTAATGATTGAACGGCAACCCAAGGGAGTTGATTTTCAGAATCAATGAAGATGATTTTATTCTAGAAATAGAATGGACTTTTTCTTTCGTTGCTTCCTTCATTTCCTTTTCCTTGCGAGCCATTGAGAAGAATATTCTTAGAATATCTTCTGTGTAGATGAATGATCTTCTACATTGGTTGATTGATGCCTTCCGTAAATGGTTGATTCAAATATTCACATGATTAATCTTCTATATTGATTGATTGACCACCTTATGCCGATTGATTGATGCCTTCCGTAAATGGTTGATTCGCATATTTAATTTTCATAGAACGCGCGGTCACACCAGTTGTACTCCTTGATTCTTGTCTTTGGATCTTGACTTGCACGTTTGCCTCCTTGATTGGTGCTTTCTGTTAAAATCTTTTCCATTCTTATGACATCCTTTGGGATTGGTTTCCTGCAAGTAGAATTAAGTTATTGTCTATCATTAAAATCCATATCTGACAGTTACTGCATTGTACAATGATGTGGATAATCATATTCACAAATTTGCCTACATTTGTTTGATTAAATGCCTTAGATAATATTTTTAATCTATAACATTCCCAATTGTTTATTCATTTAAAATATGAACTAGATTATGTCTTGGAGTTGTTAATGCTTGAAATATCGAAGAGAAAATTTAAAATAATGCAGTAGGTTGAATTTAATAATTCCCTTATAAAAAAGGTTGATTCTTAATTAATTGCTTTTTCGCTAATGGATTTCAATAAATCTATCTGTTTGATCTTTTCCTTGTGCTTCAAAGTGATACATTAAGGATTTATACTTTAAGGATTTAGTTAAATTCTTTACAAGTTTCAAAGTGTTTAGCACTTTGTGGTTCTATTCTAGTTGATTTGTTAACTCAATCTTACTTTTGGACGATGTGCCATTGTGAACAAACCGCGCACTCTCTAAGATATGTTGATCATAGTGTCAACCCTAATACTTATGGTAGGCGCAGAGTAGCACTAAGAATAAAGCTTATGAAGTATGGTGCCATATTTTGCTTAGAAGCTTTATTGATTAAGTTCTTTTATGCTAAGTGGTTGGTGCCAAAGCACTAACAACTTGTTTGGATGGTTGTTATCTATTGTACAGTGTCGTATTATTACTTTAAATACAATTTAATGTTATTTAAATTTTATCGTATCGTTTAATTCATCGTTACGTAATAAAAAAAACACTTAATGTAACGATAATTTGGTGTGGTCGCGGTGTTACTTTATTTTTTCCTCTCATCTTGCCATTCCTTATTATTAAATAATCCTATTTTATCATTTTCCCTATCTTTTTATATAATAATTCTACCTCGTACCTTACATTTTCTTTATAATATTGCATGTTTATTTTTCATATTGTTGGTGCTTGACATAATCAAACGAAGGCAAACAATACAATCTATCCAAATATTGTATACATCAAAATGATACAGTACAATACAATACAATATGATACGATATATTATGAAACGATACATAATAACCGTCGAAACAAGCTAGAAGTTTTCCTAATAATTCTGAAAGTTATTACAGAAATTTTGAAATCTTAGCTGAGGACTGCATGCAGTTGCTTGTAACGACCCGACCAGTCGTTTTGAATATTATAACCTCGTTCCCCCATTTACTGCTCAATTTATACTTAAAGTTATTTTATGACTTACCGGGTTAGTGGGTTCGGGTCCGGAAGGAATTCGGAGTGAAATGAGACACTTAGTCACATAATTAAAAATTTAAGTTAGAAAAGTGGACCGGATATGGACCTATGTGTAAACGACCTCGGATTTGAATTTTGATGATATTCATAGCTCCGTATGGTGATTTTGGACTTAGCAGCGTGTCCGAAAACCTTTTCGAGGTCCGTAGTGGAATTAGGCTTGAAATGTCGAAAGTTGAATTTTTGGGAAGTTTGACCGGGGGGTTGACTTTTTGATATCGGGGTCGGAATTCGATTCTGAAAATTGGAATACCTCCGTTATGTTATTTATGACTTGTACGCAAAATTTGAGGTAAATCGGATGTGATTTGATAGGTTCCAAAGTCGTTTGAAGAAATTAGAAATTTCAAAGTTCAATAGGCTTGAATTGAGGTGTAATTCATGGTTTTAGCATTGTTTTTGAGGTAATTTGAGGATTCGACTAAGTTCGTATGATGTTTTAGAGACAGAGCAACTCAGACTTGAGAGGTACACGAAGTACCACCCACCTACTTTCAGCGGACTAGCTTCAGATGATGCTCTGGGTTTTCTTGACGAGTCTCATCGCATTCTCCGAACTATGGGCATTATGGAGACGAGGGGTTTCTTTCACCGCTTTCTAGGTAAGGGGAGCAGCATATCAGTGGTGGTGTACCTATGAGCTGAGTAGTAAGGACGAGGCAGCCTCACTCACTTGGACTCAGTTTTTAGAGATGTACTTGGGTGAGTCTGTTCCTCAGAGCCTCAGGGACACTTGGAGCGCAGAGTTTGAGCAGCTGCGTTAAGGTGCTATGACTGTGTCGGAGTATGCAGTCCGTTTCAGTGAGTTAGCACGCCATGCACCGGCTCTGGTTGCTACAGTCAGAGAGAGGGTTCGTCGCTTCATTAAGGGACTCCACCCCAGTATTCAGACCATCATGGCCAGGGAGTTGGAGATGGACATCACTTATCAGCAAGCAGTGAGCATTGCCAAGAGATTGGAGGGCATGTTTGCCCGGGACAGAGAGGAGAGAGAGGCCAAGAGGTCTCGAGAGACTGGTCATCATTTAGGAGCTCATGCACCAGCAGCACGCTATGGTAGGGGTTTTGTGAGTTGCCCTGTTCATTCAGCCCTTCCAGCAGCCAGCGGTGTTCCAGCTCCTCCTAGACCTCAGGAGCCCTATTATGCACCGCCAGTATCCAGCGTGCCTCCCACTCGAGGTGCTATTACCGGCCATTCCAGCAGGCCAGGTCTGAGTCAGTCTCAGCTGTCGCGTCCTCCGAAAGGTTGTTTTAAGTTTGGCGACATTCGTCACCTGGTTAGAGATTGCCCCAGAGCCAGGAGGGGTGCACCTCCACATACTTATCAGCCTCCACGTGCTCCACCGGGTCCTCCAGCCATTCTCCCAGCACCAGCTGCCACCCCACCTCCTCAGCCAGCTTGAGGTTGAGGTCGCCCTAGAGGGGGAGGCCATGCCAGGTGCTATGCCCTTCCAGCCCGTTCAGAGGTCGTTGCTTCAGATTCAGTCATCATAGGTATCGTTCCTGTCTCTCATAGGGATGCATCAATATTATTTGACCCAGGCTCTACGTATTCATATGTGTCTTCTTATTTTGCTCCACATTTGGGGATATCTCGGGATTCTTTGAGTTCTCCTATTTATGTATCTAATCCCCAGGGAGATTCTCTCATTGTGGACCGCGTATATCGGTCATGTTTGATTGCTCTTAGTGGTTTTGAGACCAGAGCCGATTTGTTATTACTCAGTATGCTAGATTTTGATGTTATCTTGGGCATGGACTGGTTGTCGCCTCATTATGCTATTCTTGATTGTCACGCTAAGACCGTAATGCTGGCTATGCCAGGCTTGCCGAGATTACAGTGGAGAGGTACCTTAGAGTATACTCCCTGCTGGGTCATTTCATTTCTTAAGGCTCGGCGAATGGTTGAGAAGGGGTGTGATGTATATTTGGCCTATGTGAGAGATGTCAGTATTGAAACCCCTACAGTCGAGTCAGTTCCAGTAGTGAGGGACTTTCCAGATGTGTTTTCAGCTGATCTTCAAGTCATGCCGCCCGACAGAGATATTGATTTTGGCAATGATTTATTGTCGGTCACTCAACCCATTTCTATTCCTCCCTACCATATGGCTCCTCCTGAGTTGAAGGAGAAGTTGTAGGAGTTGCTTGATAAGGGTTTCATCAGGCCAGTGTATGACCTTGGGGTGCTCCGGTCTTATTTGTAAATAAGAAGGATGGTTCTATGCGTATATGTATTGATTATCGGCAGTTGAACAAGGTTACAGTGAAGAATAGGTATCCATTGCCTCGTATTGATGACTTATTTGATCAGTTACAGGGAGCCAGAGTGTTCTCCAAGATTGACTTACGTTCAGGTTATCATCAGTTGAAGATTCGGGAGTCCGATATTCCGAAGACTACTTTCAGGACCAGATAAGGTCACTATGAGTTTCTTGTCATGTCATTTGGGCTAACCAATGCCCCAACAGCCTTTATGCATTTGATGCACAGTGTATTCCAGCCTTATCTTGATTCCTTCGTCATTGTGTTTATTGATGACATCCTGGTATATTCCCGGTCTAGGGAAGATCATGAGCAGCACCTGAGGACCGTGCTTCAGACTTTGAGGGAAAAGAAATTGTATGCAAAATTTTCTAAGTGTGAATTTTGGCTTACTTCAGTGGCATTCTTGGGCATAGTGTCTTGTGATGGGATCAAGGTAGATCTGAAGAAGGTGGAGGTAGTGCAGAGTTGGCCTAGACTGTCATCAGCTACGGAGATCCGCATTTTCCTTGGTTTAGCGGGGTATTACTGTCGCTTTGTGGAGGAATTTTCATTTATTACGGCACCTATGACCAGATTGACCTAGAAGGGTGCTCCGTTCAGGTTGACCGAGGAGTGTGAGGAGAGCGTTCAGAAGCTCAAGACGGCTTTGACTACATCCCCAATATTAGTATTGCCTACAGGTTCGGGGTCCTACACTGTCTATTGGGATGCCTCGAGGATTGGCCTTGGAGCGATATTGATGCAGGACGGAAGGGTGATTGCCTACGCGTCTAGGCAGTTGAAGGTGCATGAGAAGAATTATCTGGTTCATGATCTCGAGTTAGCAGCTATTGTTCACGCCCTGAGGATCTGGCTTCATTATTTGTATGGTGTTCCCTGTGAGATTTACACTGATCTTCGGAGTTTGCAGCACTTGTTCAGGAAGAAGGACCTTAATTTGTGTCAGCGGAGGTGGTTGGAGCTACTTAAAGACTATGATATCACTATATTATATCAGCGGAGGTGGTGGATGTTCAGGCCTTAGCCAGTCAATTCATGAGGTTGGATATTTCAGAGCCTAGCCGCGTATTAGCTTGTGTGGTTGCTTGGTCTTCTCTTTATGACCGTATCATAGAGCACCAGTATGATGATCCTCATCTTCTAGTTCTTCAGGACAGGGTCCGGCGAGGTGATGCCAGCAATGTGACTATAGGTGATGATGGTGTGATGAAGATGCAGGGTCGGATCTGTGTGCCCAATGTAAATGGGCTTCAGGAGTTGATTCTCAAGGAGGCCCACAGCTCGCGGTACTCCATTCAACCCGATGCCGCGAAGATGTACCAGGATTTGAGACATCACTACTGGTGGAGGAGGATGAAGAAGGATATAGTTGGGTTTGTAGCCAAGTGTCTCAACCGTTAGCAGGTCAAATATGAGCACCAGAGACCGGGTGGATTACTTCAGAGGTTAGAGATCCCAGAGTGGAAGTGGGAGCGGATCACCATGGACTTTGTAGTTGGACTTCCACGGACTTTGAAAAGTTTCGATGCTATTTGGGTGATCATGGATCGGCTGACCAAGTTAGCTCATTTTATTCCAGTGTTGACCACTTATTCTTCTGAGAGGTTGGCTGAGATTTATATCAGAGAGATTGTCCGCCTTCATGGTATTACAGTATCCATCATTTGAGACAGAGGTATGCAGTTTACATCACAGTTTTGGAGAGTCGTACAGCAGGAGTTGGGTACTAGGGTGGATTTGAGCATAGCCTTTCACCCTTAGACGGACGGGAAGACCGAGCGCACGATTCAGATTCTTGAGGATATGCTCTGTGCCTGTGTGATGGAGTTCGGAGGGTCATGGGACCAATACTTGCCACTTGCAGAGTTTGTCTACAACAACAGTTACCAGTCCAGCATTCAGATGGCACCGTATGAGGCTTTGTATGGTAGGCGGTGCCGGTCCCTAGTGGGATGGTTTGAGCCGGGCGAGGCCCGATTGTTGGGTACATATTTGGTCCAGGATGCCCTAGATAAGGTGAAGGTGATTCAGGAGAGACTTCGCACAGACTAGAAAAGCATGCTTACGTGTTTTAACTGCCTATTTGACATTCTGTGCGCCATGCTTAGTTAAATCCCTATTTTCCTTATCTGTGTTCAGTATAAACTGTATAACTCGATGTCATACCTGCCATTTCATCTTGCGTTGCATATTTAGATTGGGACTACGGACGTATTCCGGGAGATTCCCCAACACTGCATATTTACTTTGGGACTACGGACGTATCCCAGGAGATCCTCCAGCACTGCATATTTACTTTGGGACTATGGACGTATTCTGGGAGATCCCCCAGCACTGCATATTTACTTTGGGACTACGGACGTATCCCAGGAGATCCTCCAGCACTGCATATTTACTTTGGGACTATGGACGTATTCTGGGAGATCCCCCAGCACTGCATATTTACTTTGGGACTACGGACGTATTCTGGGAGATCCCCATGTACTGCATATTAATTCGGAACTACGAGACGGTATCCCGGGAGATTTCCCACTGAGTTTACCTTGTTCTGAGCCGAGGGCTCCCTTAACTGTTAAATTTTTGAGAATTTCTTTAATTGTGTTACCGTAAATTTTACTTATATCTTTTACTGTTTAATTTATATATTTACTCTGGTAGGGCCTTGACCTGACCTCGTCATTACTCAACCGAGGTTAGGCTTGGCACTTACTGGGTACTATTGTGGTGTACTCATGCCCTTCCTTGCACATGTTTTCGTGTGCAGATCCAGGTGCGAGCTATCAGCCTCGGGTTTAGTGCATGCTACTAATTTTAGGAGACTTCAAGGTACTACTGCTTGCGTCCGCAGATCTTCGGAGTCCCCTTTTACTCCCTCGCCTAGAGACTTCCTTTATTATCTTCAGAATTTTGTATAGAGCTACATAGGTAATAGCAGCTTGTGACTTAGTGATATTCCGGGTCTTGAAAAATTATTTTATATATGCCGAGTGATACTACTCTTGGCTATTCACAATATACTGTTTATCTTTAAAATGTTGTGTTTTCTTTATATTTTTCGTAATATTAGGCTTACCTAGTCGTAAAGACTAGGTGCCATCACGACGCCTTACAGAGGGTTAATTTGGGTCGTGACAGAAACCCCGGATTTTTGTGTCATGTGATTATTTTGGAGGTGACGCACATGCTAGGTGACGGGCGTGTGGGCGTGCACCGAAGGGATTGTGACTTTGTCCGTCCCGTGAAACTATAAAGTTGAATAACTTGTTGTTAGCTATAAGCTCTCTTTGTGTTGAAGAAATTTGACTGTAAATCATGTTAAAAATCTTACTTAGGATATGTGATAGTACTGTTGGGACCCACAGAGGTCGCGTACTTGTTGAATTATTTGCTAATGGATGTCTTGTACTCAGTCATGATTTTACTTATGCATCATACCTTAGTCTTTCTTGATATTTGTTGATTTACTATGTTATCTTTATGTGGGTTGATCTTTGTGATTTCCGAGAGCCGAGAGACTAGAGAGGCTGAGGACTAAGTAAGGCCGAGGGCCTGTCGGTGAGGTAAGAATATATGGTACGTGAGTTTTCCGTGTAGGATATTATAGCACGCGAGTTGTCCGTGCAGCACGTGAGTTGTCCGTACAAATTATGGCACTTGGGCTGTAGAAGCCTCTCCGGAGTCTGTACACCCCCAGTGAGCGTGGGTACCAATTGAGTGTGAGTGCTGAGGGCCGAGTGGTTGAGTTGTTGTGATGAGTTGAGTGACTGTTGTCTGAGAAACTGTACTTGCTTTGCATTTGTTGTTGCACTTGGTTGCTATCTGTTATTGTTGTGAAATTTCTTAAAGCTTTTTATCCGAATTACATGAACTTGAACTATATAAAAATTGATTTGACTTAAACTGCCAGATTTGAAAGCATGTTTATTCTTTGCTGGAATTACTGAAAGTGAACTATAACTGTGTAGCTCGTCATTATCTTCAGTTCCTTAGTTATTATTATTACTTGCTGAGTTGGTTGTACTCATACTACACCCTGCACTTCGTGTATAGATATAGGTGTTCCCGGACATAACGAGTGTTGATCATTTCGCGCAGTTGATTTTCAAGAGATTCAGAGGTAGCTGCCGTGTTTCGCAGTCTCTCTTTCTCTATCTCCTTGTTTACTGTATTTTGGTCTTATACTACTATAGACCTTATGTTCCCGATTTATATCCATATTAGATGCTAATGTACTCAGTGACACCGAGTTTTGGAAGTGTTTATATATGTAATTGTGATTTTTTCTTCCGCTAAATTTATATTTTATGTTTTCAAACTTAAAAGATATGGAGTTTATTGGGATTGTCGGCTTGCCTATTATTGAGATAGGCGCCATCACGACGGGTGAGATTTTGGGTCGTGACATGACTGTAGAGAAATTATGTCGAACAAAGAAACTAGAAACTATTTCTTTTTCGTTTTAGGAAAATTGTCGAAATTTGTCCATCTACTATCCGGAATTGCTCACTTTTTTCCTATGTAACTCTTTGGTCCATTCATACCCTTGTCGTTAGCAAACCTTCTAGCATTATCCCTTAACATTAACAGAGCTCCAACATGAAATGAATAAACTTTATGTGTCCATATTCTTCAAGAAAATATTCAAAATTTACCCTTCAACTTTTGATTATGCTTTAAAATTACCCACAAGTTGGAGCATCTTTAGGGGTCAAGTGCAAAAATGAGAATGTTTCTTAACGGCAGAGGTAACATTAGATCAAAAGTTTAACAGGTGACAAAGATGCTCAATTTTAAATAATACAAGAGCAAGTTTTACCCTTTTCCCCTTTTTATTCATATTCCAACAGTAGCAAATAGTTTTGAAAAGAAGATTGTGATGGAAATATTGTTAAGTTTGCAACAAACCATCTCCTTGTGGTAAGGAATAACAGTTACAGTAGGAAAAGAATGAAGTTCGAATTGAGAACTCACGTGCAGTACTTTGGTAGGGATCGATATTAACCATATAACTCCCAAACCATCCTTTAATTAGGTTATATACAGGTTCATATTAATATTTAGAGGCTTGTTTGATGTACGGGGTATTAGAAATATGTTCCTATAATAAGAAGTTCATGGATGGTATAAAAACAGAATATATAGTATAAAACACCATCAATTTATCTCCTGAATCGTCATAATACGAGGGATGTAAGTATGTATAGTGTCCCCACTTCATTACATTCAAAAATTTGAAATCAACAAAAAAACTCATTCGACAACTTGTATCCAAAACTATCATGATTTTTATTATATGATAAAATACATATAATAGAAATAGGTAAAACCTACAACACTAGGAGAAGAATTAATACACTATTGGTGGGGTTGACCGAAATTCAAAAGGTTGATATCATTGCATCACTCTTGAGAAAGTTGATATGGAGTAGCAGTCAAGTATAAATCACTCTTTCTAGCACAAGTTACTCCTGACGACTCAGTCATGTCCAAGTCACTTGAATTGATTCCAGTAGGGAGTTTCCAATCAAAATGATATAACAATTGAGCTAGTGGCAAATAAACATTAGCCAAACCAAATGATATCCCAGGGCACATTCTCCTTCCACTACCAAAGGGAAGATATTCAAAATTATTACCAATAAAATCCATAGAGTTGTGCTCAAATCTCTCTGGCTTAAAACTTTCCACGTCATCCCAATATTTTGGATCTCTTCCAATAGCCCAAACGTTAACCATAAGTTTTGTTTTAAAAGGAATAGTGTAGCCGTTTATATCTGTTTCTTCTCTAGATTCTCTTGGGAGCAAAAGGGGAAATGGAGGATGGAGTCTGAAAGTTTCTTTGATAACCAATTTTAAGTATTTCAACTCCTCGACATCATTTTCATCAAAAGTTTCTTTCTCTCTGAAGGCTTCTCTTACCTCTGCTTGAGCTTTAGCGAATACACTTGGATTCTTTATCATTTCGACCATGGCCCAGTCAATTGTGGTTGATGAAGTTTCCGTTCCCGCACCAAACATGTCCTTCAATTTGTAGCAAGTTAAAATAGTAAATTATCTCACACATGCTATTTATTTCGTACAAACTTTTTGACCAATTTCAGCTGAATATTTAAATAACTTTTTTTATACTAGGTTTGGGTTACTACCTTTGTTCTACATCGAAAGAAACTTTTAAAAGTTCTAGGCCAAAATTATTTTCTGCTCGTGATAATTTGCTACGTATTTCATTATTATCCTAGAAAGGCTAAGTTGTGGTCGTTGACATAATTTTTTCATGGTACTTTTCAAATGTGTAAATTTAGTCATGAAAGTAAGATTAGTAGTCCTATTTAAAAACTAATTTAACTGACTCTGTAAGTGCCAAAATAATTATAGAAAAACAATTATGCAATTAGAGAAAGTACTAGGTGTATGCTTAAATCATAATACTTCATTCGTTTCATTTTATATGGCAGCATTTGATAGATATAAAGTTTAAAAAGAAATAGAAAAAGACTTTTCGAACTTATGGTCTTAAACATGTCATGATATTTCTATAGCTATAAAAGCATGCCATAAATGATATAATGAGAAGCTTAAAGTTAAATTATTTTATAACGGTAAAATTTTTCATTCTTTTTTGAACAAACTAAAACGAAAAAAAAGTCATATAAAATGGAATTGAAAGAGTAATAATAATGAGGGAAGAATGATGCAGTATACAATACTTACAAAAATAATAGCTTTGATGTTGTCGTTGGTGATCGGGAATTGAAGGCCTCCCTCTTTCATAAGTCTTAGCAGTACGTCAATTAATCCTTCACCTCCTAATTCATTATTATTCTTTCCAGTTGCAATTTTCTTGTGCTCATTGATAATTTTTTCAAGAATGGCATCTAACTCATGGTGTGCATCCATAACTTTAGCCTTCATTCCACTGAGCACATGAAGAAACTTCAATGAAGGGAATATATCAGCAACATCAAACCCTTCCATTAAGCTTGACACTTTTTTTACTAGTTGTGCGAATTCGTCTTGCTCCTTGTATTCTTGTCCAAAGGCTGATCTACATGTCATAGAGGTTGTGAATAGAGAAATCCTTTTTGATACATTAACTGGCTTACCAGAAGATGATCGAAAAAATTCAATCATATGGAAAACTTCATCTCGTCTGACTGAGCTGAATGACCTAACATTTTTGGCACTGAGCAATTCCAAGAGACAAATTTTACGCATTTGTCTCCAATAATCGCCATAGGGGGAAAAGACAATGTCTGTCCCATTATAGCAGACAATTTTGGCTGCCAAAAGTAACGGCCTAGATGCAAAAGCGAGGTCATGAGTTTTTAGTACTTCTTTTGCCATCTCAGGAGAAGTAACAGAAACTACAGAAACTTCACCTAGTTGAAGGTGCATAAGTGGACCATATTTTTTGGCTAAATCTCCAAGGACATGATGTGGAGGTCCACCTAGCAAATGAAACATGCTTCCAAGTACAGGTAATTTCCATGGACCTGGAGGCAATCTTTTGGTTTGGCTATTGGAGTTCTTCCATTTCCTTAATAAAAAGAGGAAAGACACAAAAAAGACAAAGGAAATGAAGTTGAAGAACTGCATTTTGGGAGGGTTATTTGGTTTGATAGATTCTCCAAAGTGTTGTTGCATATTTATGCTAATGTTTTTTGATAGATGCATTTTTCAGCAACTTTGTTTATTCAGTTGTCAACAGTGGCTGCTAGAACTTTTTATATAATTTAATAAAGAAGAAAACAAACTAAACAATTGAATAGCTGCCCCCATTGAATTCACAGTAGATGGTCCAACTTATAAGGGGTTATGTACCAATAATTTAGTTTTTAAAACATATTTGAAAAGATCGATTTTATAATTTATTATAAATGATTTTTAAATATATATTTTTTTCCACAAGAGGTCACAATACAGGAGATTGGTAACAAAATATAGGTAACATTTGTAGGATAAATTTTCTTCTCTAATTTTAATAGATATGGATTCAAGGTAGTGCCTGTCACGACCCAAAATTCCACCACATGCGTCGTGATGACACTTAGTCTCTAAGACTAGGTAAGCTGACTATAACAACAATTCAAGTCTTTTTATTTATTTATAAATAATCAAAACCAACAACGGAAATATTTGAACAAACTCCAAAGATTGGTAATACTAAGTCACGAACTCTAACTGAATACATGAAATGATGTCAAAGGTCGAATACTCAATATTGTTTGAATAATAATTAACAGTACAATAAAATAGAAAGACTCCAAGGGACTGCGATGACCGAGCAGCTCTACCTTGAATCCTTGCGATCACACTCTAACTCTGTCCGGGTCCGATATCTCCAATACCTGGCTCTGCGCAAAAATGTGCAGAAGTGTAGTATGAGTACACCACAGTCGGTACCCAGTAAGTATGAAGACTAACATCGGTAGAGTAGTGACGAGGTATAGTCAAGACACTCACTAGTCAAATAACCCGTGCAATATAGCAGTATACAATAGTATTGAAAGACAACTAGCAGTGATAGCAACAAAAATCAACCAGTGTTATAAACAACAAGGCAACAAGAATACCATAATTATTGCTCAAATGAATAAATAACTTAAGTACAACCAATTAATCAAGTCCTTCAAATATATATCTTTCACATATAATTCTTTCAAATAAAAGTCACTCTGTGACACCTCATTTCATAGTCATAAAATATGGGTCTCAACCCACTTTCATATTTTCGTAACACGGGTCTTAGCCCACTTTCATATTTTCACGGTACCTCGTGCACATATTTCTATCATAACTGCACGGACAACTCACGTGCCAATAATATAATTATTATTTACTTATGCATCTCGTGCCTATATCTCATATCACAACTGTACGGACAGTTCACGTGCCAATATCATAATCATCATATTTCTGCGGTACCTCGAGCCCGTATTTCATATCACATCTGCATGGACAAATCACGTGCCAATAACATAATCCTCCCGGCAATAGCCACATGCTCACAATCTCAACATGGATCAGAGTATTATCAAGTTTACCGAAACAACAAGACATGTTGCACAAGAGAATCGCAACATTACATAAAATTCATCAACATAATAATCCCACATCATCATATAAAAATCATCAACATAATAACCCCACATCATCACATATCATCCCTGACAATAACCACCCTTATCTCTCCTATAGCCACCCTTATTATTCCTATAATAGCCTCCATTATCCCTCCGTCCTAATAATATCAATAGCCACTCTTATTGCTCTTATATCCACCCTTATCACTCATATAGCCACTCTTATCGCTCCTATAATAGCCTCCCTTATCACTCTATTTAATTGCCTCCCTTATCACTCCGCCAAGACAATATCCCAACACATATAATAACAGTGAAATGCCACCCTTATGCCCTCAAAATGTCAACAATACGATGCCACCCTTGTACGCTGCATAACAGTAACCCAAATCACACAACAATTCACACAGAATATTATCACAACAACACATCATCATCAACTCGTATTTACAAATTTTCCGTATGCCACAACCATTCCAAAGGTACAATAAAGTCAATTAATTTCACAACAGATAGTCCACGGCTCAACACAATGTATATAAAATCTCAAAAACACCTACAAGGATGGAAAAATAATTCATCATAGAACAACGCCTTCTTTAATCCAAATTTTAGATAAATATATAAATGTCTCAATTTAAACTTATTTAATTAATTATAATGTGCACAACATCTTAACAAAATGTTCGGGCGTGAACAACTCAACCGAATAATATTTCACAATTTGGCACTTTGCCTCAATATGATTCACGACCTTTATAATTCAACACCAAGTTTTTAACAACATGAACTGAAAAGTAATTCATCAAGGAACTACACCTTTAAATCACAATATCATAAAATAATAGATTTATTCATCTTATTAACTAAAATTCTCATTTAAATTATTTATAGATAAAATCAATAATGAAAGTACTTTCCATAAAAATGACAATTCAAACAAACACAGAGTTCACATAAAAGTCAAATGGCAATCACACCAAATTATCATATAAAATACAAACTCGACAAACAAGGAATGAGGCATGACAAATCAAGGATTTACTAAGTTCCAACAATCTTCCAATTTAATACATAAAGGGAGTCTACGAATTTTAACAGATATAATTTGCACATATAAACCAAGTACGTACTCGTCACCTCGCGTACATGGTTTTCAATTACATAATTTCCACATAAGACTCAATGTCTAAGGGGTAATTTCCGCACTCAAGGTTAGGCAAGATACTTACCTTTTTGAAGTTAGGTTGATAGTCCAAAATAGCTTTCTCACGTGAATTGACCTCCGGACGGCTCCAATCTTTCTTGAGCCCTTCTGACATTACTATGAGGTTCCGAAAATCCTATCAACTTCAATCTATTTAGAAATATAATAAAAGTGAACCATAATTAGGAAGATATTCATGTTTTCAGCTTATTTGTGCATTTTATCAAACACTAGGTGTGCAAATTTATTTACAAGGTTCTTCTATAAGATTTCCTTTACTCCACAACCCCAATCCTTACTTATTTGAGCTCAACAATCTTCCCACAAACCTTATTGGTACAAGAATATATGCATAATACTCTTACACCCAAAACTCGAAATTGAAGATTAGGGGTTTGAATTTTACCTCTTAGATAAATATCTTGTGATTGGCTTCCTTGATTCTTGAAGATTGGATGATTAGAATGTTAGGTTCCCTCCTTATCTCTCTAAAATGCTCTTACCTCTCTCTAAAACCCTCAGAAAAACACCCCAAAATAAGCCCCAAAGGCTATTTATCAAAATGGGGTCGGGTTATGAAAATAGAAAAATTAACCCTCTGAAATCAGGTCTGCGGTCGCATAATGGATCGCATAATGGGTATGCGGATAGCAAAATGCATCGCAGAATCTATGCCCAGAACTGGGCTGTGCTGGCCAGATCTGCGACCATTTTGCGGTCCCATAACCACTCCTGCGGCCCGCAGAATGGTTCTGCGGTCACAGAATTGGTCGCAAAATTATATTCTGCCAGCCTTCGGTAATTTGATCATAACTTCTTGTAGGAGTGTCCAAATGACAAATGGTTTGAATATTTAGAAACTAGACTCAAATATCTTTCATTTTATAGGTAATAAACCATATTACACTTCGTATCATGAGAGTTATGCTCGTTTGAAGTTAGGTCTTGTGCGAACTCACTTGAAACTTTAGTCTATTATGAAATTTCCAACTTGACTTGGACTTAGGGCTCTCCTTAGACCATAAATCATTCTTAATGCACCTCATACATATATTATCATATCCAATTGATATCGATCATGTTGGTCCAAGTGAAGGTTAGTTTTGAAAATTGACAAAGGAAGCTCATGCATGAACCAGGCCCATCCCTTGTGTGCATAGACACGGGCAGATTCGAGCATGTGGGATGCACGTGAAGGAGATAAGCTAAAATTGGTCTAATTAATATCTCCTAATTGAAAAGGGTTGTATAATTGATGAGGCGAAAATCTCCAGATCGAAAAGGGTTGCATAATTGATAAGAAGAAGGACTCCTTAATCAAAGAGAACACTATCCAAGATAAGGGAGGAGTTAGAGGTTGAGATCAACTAGAACTCTTCTACCAAGGAAGAGTAGCATTAGAACTCTAGTTGTTTTCTACTCTACTAACTCTATAAATCATAGGAAGTTCTCACTCTACATGTGACACACAAAAGCAGAAGTTAAACGTGAATTGAGAGTAAAATAGCAAGGCATTTTGCAAGCAGTTCGTGTGTGATTCAAGTGTGCGAACCTGAAGCTACATGAACCAGATAGAAGAAACAACTCCAAGTGTTTGTCTTTTATTCTAGTTCAATTGTAGTAGGTGTTTACATATTGTACATTTCAGATTTATCTAGAGGCAATTGTAATAGGTACTCAGAGTATTCAAGTTAGAGTTAACTTGAAGTTGTCGCATCAGTTAGAGGCTGGTTGCCACAACGGGATTAGAGTTAATCCTAGGTTTACAAAAGTATTTTGTAAATGCCATTTTTGGCTCAGTGATTTAGTGGAGTGTTTGGGAAAATCCTACTGGGAAGTAGGTCTTGGTTTTTTTCACCTTTTGAGCCAGGTGTTTTCCACGTAAAATACTTGTATTTTTTAATTTCTGCATTTATTATTCTGCAACAGTAGTATAAGGAACATATAGAAGAACCAGCTCCTTCTATAATCTGTGTACACGAAAAATTGGACACCACACAAATCACCCCCATTCTTGTGTGGTATTGAAGTTAAAACATCAATTGGTATCAGAGCAAGTTATCCTTGAAGAGGCTAACACCTTAGGAGAAGATCAAGATGAGTGCACTACCTAGAAACTGGGAAGGGCAATCCACTGCTAGGCCACCACTCTTCAATGGCCAGTATTACTTTTGGTGGAAAAACAGGATGAGAGATCACATCATAGGAGAAAACTATGAGCTATGGGACATTGTCACAGACGGTCCACCGGCTACCATGATGATTAATGTCGAAGGAGAAGAGGTGCCAAAAACAAGAGCTGACTGCACTGCTGACGACTTGAGGAAATGGGAGAAGAATGATAAAGCCAAGAAATGGCTCGTGTGTGGACTTGGCCCGGACGAGTACAGCAGAATTCAAAGTTATACTACTGCTAAGAAAATTTGGGACACTTT